AATAAAACCTCCTAAGAGCCAAAGACAACTTTTCCTGTCCTTCCTTTTTGAAGCAGACATCAGAGGTCAATCAAACTTGATTCTGCTTTGTAAGAGTGTACTTTGAGCACCACTACATTTCTGGGGCCACTGTCACTTGCCACGTCGGTAGACAATTGTTTCTCAAAAGGCAACCCAGGAAGGGAGGGACGAGGGAACCTGAGTTAGAAGGAGATGCCTTGCTGCCACTCTGACAACGTGCCTTGTTCCATGTGTCCTAAAGGTTCTGAGACCAAGGGGCTAGCATATAAAATGACTCAATCCCACTTTAGGCCAGACAAAATGCAAAGCTAAGGTGTCATAAGAAGCACCTTCCTTGGAGCAGGTAGGGCTGTGGTCACGTCTTCAAGAACACATTACTTTCTCTGCCACCTCCTGGGTTTGATGTTCTTTCTGGAGAGTTCTTAACACATTCTGGGGCTTAGATAAGAGTGTCATAGGTATTTAAAAGAATGCTCAGTCACTTCTACTATGTTGGTTAGGAAAATAAGGTAAAACGAGATTTGAAAAACGATGGAGGGAATTGAGCCATAATTCCCGTAAACATAAAATGTGTGTTTATGGCCCTCCGGCCTGGTTCTTTTCAGGTCCAGTTTATTTTGAGTTCTCATTGAGCAAAACACGAGATACAAACTGCCCTTGCCTTTGTAATAATAAATACCTCAAAAAGATCTGTATTTTCCCTAAAAACAGACTGAAGTTTTTTAAAAAAATATTTAGTTTAAACCAGATTGATTTTAAAAGGAATATCTCACAAGACCAAAATGTTTGCAAGGGAGTGCTCAGCCTCTCCCATGCTCTTTGAGTCTTTTCCAGAGAAGGGGTGGGAGTTAAAGGAAGGAGCCAAGAGACATGGGCGCAAAATAAATTGTTGAACCCGGTTCAGTCTGTTTCTCTCTGGGCAGAGGTAATGCGCAGTACAGTGGGTATATCAGCAACTGCAGTGAAGACTGTGACATAGAATCACAGCATTTCTTCAGCCTGGGGCTGCCCACCTGGGTAAGATGGGTTGCCCATGGCTTCAGAAAAGGGGAGTCAAGTTAGCACATCCTCACTAGGTTTCCTCCTGCGGGCACCCAGGGTGGCCTAGAGCCTGCATCATCTCAGCTGCTTGGGCCCTTTGAATACTCAGAACATGTGCCCTTAGGGGGGCAGCGCACCACACACCGGGAGTGCACACTCCTACAATCCCCGGGTTGACATCTAAGCTGGGAAACTTATCCTCCCCACCACCTTTCTTTTCCCACTTTTCCCCTCCATCACTATCCACCCCACCCCACCCCTAAAAGGCAAGGGCCATCTAAACTGGGGGCACGCGTGAGACTTGAGATGGCGGCATCTGCCTCACAGCTTTCCAAAGCAGAGCCTAACCCAGCATGCCACCAGACCCGCAGCGGAATATACAAAAGAGGATACCAAGAGAAAAAAAAGTGGACTCATTTGGTTGTGCATTCAGCCAGTCTGGTCTCTGGGTCAATAACTAACTAGGGTTCATCCCTTTGTGCCCTGCCTCCAAGCTGCCTTTCTAAGGCTGTAGTCCCTGGGCTTGGCTTTCTGAGCTACGTGAAGCCCTAGACCCTTGCACAGCATTAATTAACTGATAATGACACTGTCAGTAAGGACTGATGCTCAGATTAGCATCTTTTACGACTTTTTTCTGTCCCGTGTTCTCCATCTCTTTTATCACTTGCCATGATATCTGGGACCATGAAGAGATTTGCCCATTTTTGGTTTCAATTAAAAGAGCATGAGAAAGGCTGAAAGTGGTAAATTCTGATAGCTTCAACACTGAGGCTACTTGCTTCTGGTGGACACAGCATCTCAGTCCCCAGTTCAGCCTTCCGCCTAGCCTCTTCTTCCTTTCAATTTCCAAAACCCCCTCTGGGTCTGAAAGCAGCCTACCAACTGCTCCCTTATATTGTTATCTGTTCCCGGCCATACGTAGTGCGACCATTTTAACTTTGTCTACCTGCTTCCAAGGCCTAGATGTGTTCTTATAAACAGACTTTTTTTTTTTAAGTATCAAATGTCAGAGGATTGAACTACCAGTATTTACACATTCAGAGTTTGCCTCCCTGGTGAAAATGTAAACAGAACCCCACCACACTACCTATATTCTTTCCTTGAAGAACGAGGTCTTTAAAACACTCCCGTTCACGCTAAAATTGCAGACCCAACCAAGTGTGTGTGTGGGGGGGGGGCGTTTGCAAGCTCTAGGTCGCTATTTTATTCCATGCCTGAGTGGCACTTTACCAACAAATCTGATTTCAGCTTCTCCCCACATCCCGTGCTCAGGCTTAAGACGCAATGCTGGGGGCATCCAAGAGAACTGACCCCTTGCCCAGGGGACAGAAGGGACCCTGAATGGACTCCAGGACTGGGCTTGCTAGCCTATGCCGGTCTCTGAGTTCCCCTCTCCTACCACCAAGCCACCGCAAACCTAAAATGCATTTCTCGATGCTGATGCCCTGGGCTGTAGAGGCTGGTGAAGCCCACCCTGAATCCCCTGCAGCAGAGCAGTTGGGGGCCCCCACCCTCCCTCTGTCCGCTGGCTCTGACCTTGCCTTCCATCCCCAACCACCGACCTGTGGAAAGCGCCCCCGTGCCCTGGGAAAGGGCTGTCCCTGCAGAGTCCTTGGGTTGGGGCTCCCTTTGTGAGGTGGGGCTCCTTGTGAGGCCTGGGGCCTGTCTCTGCCTGCTTCCAAAGGACAACCCCCAAGGTGGAGTCAAGGGTCTCCTCTGGGTGACCCCAGCCAGGCCCAGCCAAGAGTCCCAGGCCTCCAGGGCCCGCGTGGTCTCCTCTCCACTCGGCCCTGGGCTACCTCTACTTTAGGGCCCGCAGGGTCCCGCTTGACACCCTCACCCGCACCCAATTCCATCAGGCCCCGACCTCCTTCGCGACTGGCTGCCAAGCCCGGGGATGTTCCAGCTGCTGCCTCCGTCCATCCCTGCCCCGGCCTCTTTCCGGCTTTCCCAAAACGCTCACGCCACGAGGGCGCCTCGGCCCCGCTGACTTGCAAGCGGAGATCCACTTTCCGTTATAATGCGTTCAAGATCACTGAGGCCAGCAGTCTAAACATCCACGAGCCGTCCTCCCGGTCTGCCTCTTAAACTGCTGTTTAATGGTTCCCCTCCGATAACTAAACCTGCTTTCCACAGATGCCCGCTTTTATGGGAGACGCAGGAATGCACGGATATATTTATATGTTTGTTCATAAAAACTGGAAAATAAGCTCCGAACACGCTGTAAAAAATATTCAGTTACTTACCAAACAGGCCAGTGAAACCAGGGGGACACCGATGCCGGCCACACCACCAATTCGGGGAATCGAGGTTGCCTGCGCTTTGCAATCGCCCAGGGTCGTCGTCGCCCGGGGCTGGTGTCCCTGAAGAATATGGAAATAAGGGTATTTACAGGGGGCTTGAACGTTCGTCCGGCGGCCTCAACCGCGATCCTCAAAAGCAACGTCGGTCACAGGAGCGACCTCAGAGGCCCGGGCCGGGGTAACGCAGTGGGTAAGCAGCGAGACGCGCGAGTGCAGCGGTGCCCAGGTCGCAGCGGCAGCCCTCCCCCGCCGCCCCTTGGCGGGGCCCGCCGGCCGCCCCTCTGCTCTCGCCCCCGCCCCATCCCGTGCAGAAAAGGCACCACGCCGCCTGCTTATTTTCTTGCCTCGGTCACCTACACAAACACTTACAAAAGCGATATCTAAGTCCCCTCCACCTCTTTTTTTTTTCTTTTTCCTTTTTCTTAAACCAGAAAAGAAAGCAGAAGTGATACCATACCTGGTTTGAGATTCTTCAAGATTTGAGACTTGGGGCGGGGGGGGAGGGCGGATAATTTAATAGTAAAGCATCTGCTAAACACTTGCATTAACCTCTGACTGATAAAAAAGTTTTTTTAACCCGCCCCCCCCCCACCACCAGTTTTAATTATCTCATGGTTGTGAAGGGGCAGCCAATCCTGGAAGAGGACTTCGACAATTAGCAACGAGAACATCAAAAAGTTTTATTGCGGAGAGCGAGAGGCACCGCCCCTGCCGCCCCGGGATTGGCGTGAAGAGCCTCTGACGACATATATTAACCCGAGCAGCCCTAAAGATGTAGCTGTACATGGAGATCTTGCTGGGGAAATCCGCTTACTCCCCTCACGGCGTCCAGGCCCGGAGGACCGCCGCCGCCGCCGCCCGGGAGCCCCCGCGGCCACCGCGCAGACCCCCGAGAACCCGCGCCGCCGCCTTCGCGCCCCGGGGCGCCTGCAGGGCCCCAGGTCCTTCCCCTGAAAGAAGGAGAGGATCTGAGAAAATGGATGCAATGAGACCTCTCTGAAAACCCTCCGAGGGAGCCCGAGAGGAGTGAGGACACGTTACCCGCTGCCAAAATCACGTTCAAGGACCAAAACAACAACAACCAAAAATTTCATTAAAACAATAAGCGCCCAAGAACCCAGACCGGGCTGGTGGGGGGAGGGGAAGGGGCGGGAAGGGGAGGGTCGCATGGAGGTAGCAGCTTCGCAGTGAGCAGCCGACCCCGCCGCCTCCCTGCAGAGCCGGGCCGGCTCCTCCGACCGTGGCTCGGACTCGCCCCGGGACTCCCGAGCCAGCCTCGGTGCCAGGATCGCGGCCGCGGCGCAGCCCGGCGCCTCCGCCAAGCAGCCCCGCGGGAGCCCGGGCACCTTTGCATGAGCACGAGCGGCTTGTGCCTCCGCGCAGCGGCCCGGGGAGCAGGAGCCGGCGCGCGGGCCGGGGAGCCAGGCGGGAGTCGGCGGCGGCCGGGGGCGCACGGTGCCGGGACCAGCTCGCCGCGCCCTATGGGGAGCCGCAGGCCGCGGTGCTGCTGAGGCGGGCCCGGCGGGCCAGGCGGGGGGTCGGGGCCCGGGCTGCAGCAGCCCCCTCTGCGGCTGCCGGGCCGGCCCGGGCGCCCGAGGGCTGGGGGGCGGGGGGTGGGGGAGGCCGCCCGGCGCCGAAGCGGGGGCCCCGGCCGAGGGCGCGGCGGGGCTGCGCGCACGCTGGGGCGCGTGGAGGGGCGCGGAGGGCGATATGAGTCTGGTGGGGGGCTTCCCCCACCACCCGGTGGTGCACCATGAGGGCTATCCGTTCGCCGCCGCCGCCGCCGCCGCCGCCGCCGCCGCGGCCAGCCGCTGCAGCCACGAGGAGAACCCCTACTTCCATGGCTGGCTCATCGGCCACCCCGAGATGTCGCCCCCCGACTACAGCATGGCCCTGTCCTACAGCCCCGAGTACGCCAGCGGCGCGGCCGGCCTGGACCACTCCCATTACGGGGGGGTGCCGCCGGGCGCCGGGCCCCCGGGCCTAGGGGGGCCGCGCCCGGTGAAGCGCCGGGGCACCGCTAACCGCAAGGAGAGGCGCAGGACTCAGAGCATCAACAGCGCCTTCGCCGAACTGCGCGAGTGTATCCCCAACGTGCCCGCCGACACCAAACTCTCCAAGATCAAGACGCTGCGCCTGGCCACCAGCTACATCGCCTACCTCATGGACCTGCTGGCCAAGGACGACCAGAATGGCGAGGCGGAGGCCTTCAAGGCGGAGATCAAGAAGACAGATGTGAAAGAGGAGAAGAGGAAGAAGGAGCTGGTCAGTACCGAGGGGCAGGGGGGAGGGGGGTGCGGGTTCGGGGGACCGGAGCTACGGGGATCTTTCCAAGTGGGCTGAGCCATGCCGTCCCTCGGTCTCTGGCTGCATCCTAACCACGGTTGTTTAAACCAGGCTGTGGAAAGGGTGGTTTCCCGAGAAGCTGAAGAGATGGGTGAGGTAGCAAGCAGGAGGAGGAGGAGGAGGTTAGGAGGGATGCTTCGCGCTGGGGATCTTCCCTCTGGGTTATCGCTGTTGCACCAGCACCTCGGGCGTGCTTCTCGGACCCAGGGCCCCCGCCGATCTTCTGACTGCACTGGTGCAATCGTTCTCTGTCCCTTAGAGCCTTCATTTGGCCTCCATTCCTATCTTGCTTTCAGGTATTTCTAAAATAAATCGCCCGGAAGCGCTAGATTGCAATTATTGCACTATCGATCCCTTATCCCCTTCAGGAGAACCAGGCCACCACTGATTGTAAGAGAATTTTGTGGTGGTTCTCATTACAATGCTCCAAGACGTAAAGATAAACATAAAAATAAGTACTTTTAATATTAAAATCCAACTCCAGTTTCTCTTTGGCGATGAGACTAAACTGTAACCTCCCAGATGAGTGTGCGTCATGGCTATTTCTGGTTTTATTTGCTTGAGCATTTTAAGCCAAACAGTAAATACTAATATGGTCGTTGTTATTGTTGTTAACAGTAACACGGACCTATAACTGAAAATTAGTTTTCTCAAGTTCCTACCAAGTCCTCCGTAGGTCAGTGGTGTTCGGAGCAGGGCTGCTGTTTAGTTTTTCTTCTTTGGGGCCTGTGGCGCTTTAGCTGGTGCATAGTCGAGTGACCTCCCGAATAACGAGGGATTTTAAAGGCCTCGTTGGAGAGGCACTGCCGTGCTGGGGGCCGGGGAGCCCCTCGCCTACCGGCCAGGTCCAAGGCACCAGGAATTTATCCCCACCTTCCCTAGAGCGCGAAGCTGGGATTACGAATGAAAACAGGGAGCCCCTACATCTGGAGTTAGAGAAAAGGCCCCAGCTCCTCCATAAAAGACTTGGAAACGGCTGGTTGTTTATAAGCCTGCCTATCCGGTAGTTGAGCGTCGCAGGCGCGTGGAGGCCTGGGCGGTAGCTAAGGCTGCGCAAACCTTTGTAGCTTTTTCTGCAGAGGCGAGGACTCGAAACCATCCCATATCTCTCATCCCCAACTCGATCTCTCACCATCTCCTTTTTTTCCCCAGTAAGTGCGGGGGGTGTCGCGGAACCAGGCCTCCTTTCTGAATTTCTCATTCCACCTTTCTCCCCTTCGTCTGTCCAATGCCCAGAACGAAATCTTGAAAAGCACAGTAAGCAGCAACGACAAGAAAACGAAAGGCCGGACGGGCTGGCCACAGCACGTCTGGGCCCTGGAGCTCAAGCAATGAGGAGGAGGAGGAGGAGGAGGAGGAGGAGGAGGAGGAGGAGGAGGAGGAGGAGGAGAGCGCGAAGGAGCCGGGGCCCAGGAGCCAGAAGCAGACCCAGGACTCCGGGCAAGCTCTCCAGGCTCCGCTCCGAGGACTTCATGCATTTGGAATCATCCGGTTTATTTATGTGCAATTTGCCTGCCCTCTCTTTGGCCCCCTTTGAGGCATCCGCTCCCCACTTCCCCCTCAAAAAAAAAAGTGGATATTTGAAGAAAAGCATTCCATATTTTAATATGAAGAGGACACTCCCGCGTGGTAAGGGATCCCGTCGTCTCCTAGATTCTCTATGTGTGAATGTTCCCTCCTGGCTGTGTAGACACCGGTGTTGCCCCCTCCCCACTTACCCAACCCCTTCCAGATAAAGACAGCAGACAATAGTGTGTATGTGAAGTGTATCTTTACTACTTGGCCTTTGGATATAAATATTCCTGGGGATTATAAAGTTTTATTTCAAAGCAGAAAACGGGGCCGCTAACATTTCTGTTGAGGTCGGTATCTAGTGCTGTCTTTTCATCTGTGGTCGTTCCCTATTCGAAGATGTTTCCAACAGCTACTTGTTTTGTGCACTTCCGTCCTCTAAAACTAAGTGGAATTTAATTAATATTGAAGGTGTAAACGTTGTAAGTATTCAATAAACCACTGTGTGTTTTTTTTTACAAAAACCCCAATCTTTTAATGGTTGATACCTCAAAAGAGTTTTGAAAACAAAACTGTTATACTTGTTTTCATAATATTTAAAATATTCAGAAGTAAACTAAATTATCGTGATTGCCTCTAACTTTATTTGAAAGAGTCGGTAGTTCCGATCAATCCTCAGCGGGAGCCGCAGCCCTCATTGGGAAGTGTCCTTGGTGAAAATCCTGGGACTTGGGCTCTACCCTGGTCCTGTCTCCTTCTGGCTCCCCTCCTTACCCCCAGCCCCAGAGTAGGCTGAGTGGTCAGTATTAGGAGGGTCTGGGGCCAAGAAAGGCCTTGGCAGTTCACTGGAAGGTGAAAAGGTGTCCTTGTTTTCACAAAATCAACCAAATGCCATTCTGTGGGGACTTTGGTTTTTGTTTGGGGAGCATGTTTTAGGTGGAGGAGATTTGAGGAGGATCCCAGGAGTTATTGCAGTGGCAGGAAATAGTCTACAGTTTTTAATTCAAAATGTAGGGCTTTCATCCGGGAAAAGAAAAAAGAGGGAAAGAGGAGGTTTTTATTTGTAGTCTCCATCAGGGTGATTCTCATCTGAGCCGGCCTTGGGAAGGGGCGAGCTTTTGGGGAAAAAAGTCTATGATTAGGTAACAAGGAATTCTACATCAAGTAAGAAATCGCGAACATGACCAAGGATTTAAAGGGGGGTGAAGGGGGGACTAGATTTACAAGGAGCTACAGGGAACTCAATATTAACTGCAGTGTCTGAAGTCTTCCCGGCCCCAGGCCAGCCGAGCAACCGGCTCCCTCCCCGGGCTACCAGCCGCCAGGGACGTCACCCCGTTTGAGGTTCGGTCTCCTCGAACCCCGGAACATCCCGAATGGAAGTCCCTGAGGCCTCCTTTGCCCATAGTCTTGGCTACAGCCGGAATCTCTGCCCCAGGAACCAGAGAACCTGAAGTGCCATAAAGGACTCGGCAGGCCAGGGAGGGGAGGGAGGAGGGGGAGAGATGGGGGGTGGGGGGAAGAAAGGTGAAACGTATTAAAAAGCGGTTTGTTTCATGAAACGCCACGTATATAAATCTGGTGTTAGGGAGGCTTGCCAGAGGGTTTCCATCTTGGAACCCATCCTCGGGGTGATGTTCGCACCTCGGCTCCAGGCACAGACGCTGCCCCGATGTCCCAGGGGTTCCCGCGGCTCGCCGGTGCCCACTCTGAGCCTGTCGCCTACAGCAGGCAAATTCGCAAGTGCTGAGGGACAGACCAGCGAGTGGCTCTGCGGGTTTCTTCTGTGGGCAGCTGACAACGCGAGGGCGAGGGGTTAGAACAACTCGGCCAAAGCGATCTGAACTTTCTCCCCTCGGGTCAGGCTGCGCTGGGCCGACGTGGTGGGCGAGGGCTGTGTTTACAGACACTTGCCTTTGTTTATAGCACTGGGGGGGGGGGCGTAGGGAGGCGCGCCCTGATTTTCTATTACTCTTGGGATTCTTGTCAGTTTGACCGAGTGGCGTTCTCCCTTCCCTGCCTCCAACGGCCTTTTGCGTCTTTAATCCTTTCAAGACATCATATCCCAGGGGCAGAAGAAAAGGGTTTACTGAAATAGTGGAGAGAGTGGTGGTGGAGGTGGTAAGATTTTAAAACAGGAACTGAAGAGGAGTTATGTCCATCATGCATGTGTACTTGCCTTGGGTAGCTGGTCGTCTTTACCATCTGGGCCTTACTGCACTTTTGCTGGTCTAACACTTTTTCTGGTTTATTAAACACCAGCAGAGGAGATCCAGAAGAGCCTGGCAGCAGCATCGCTATGGGGCAGCTTGCTGCTGCTACACATGCTTTAAAACCCGCGCTGCAGAAATTCATCCTCTTTGTCTGGCCCGGGCCAGGCACTGCCCGCCTGCTCTCCTGCCTGCCACGACGCTTCCTCTGGCCCAGCCGCACCAGGCCCCAACACCTCAAGCATCTCGACATTCCAACCTGTGTGAAATCCCAGCTGGCCAGACATCCAGCAGACCTGACACCCCAGGGGGCCGAACCCCTAACTGAACGCACACCCTAAGTGGCAAGACACCCCAGATTATACATCTCTACAGTCGATTGGGACATCCCAACCTACCCAACGTTCCCAGCCACCCAACATCCCTGCTCCACGTTGTCAAGTCCCGGGAAGTGAGTGGTGTGCTAGGCAGGCGATTCTTCTGAGCGTCCATGCTTTTCTCTTCTACACATTTATTTCTCTTTTAACTCCCTTTCTCCTTTGCTTTAAAAAAAAAAAAAAGATTTCCAACCTCTTGCCTTGCGGGATCTGCTAAAAGGGCCTCTGTTTTAATTGCTCGGATAATGTGGTTGCTGCCATTTTGTTAAAAGCAATCACTCCTGCAGCGAAATCACAAGCTCTCTAGACAGGCCGGAGCCGACAAAAATGCAGGATTTGACGTTAAAAGCTAAATGGGAAGCTGGGGCGGCGGAAGGTAAATTGATGGTAGATCTGGCTGTCAGGGCCCGGCCCCAGACCGCCGGGCAGGCCGAGAGCCTGATAACCCTGGAGCACCAGCGGGGAGAGGGCTCGGCTGCTGTGTGTGTGTGTGTGTGTGTGTGTGTGTGTGTGTGTGTGTGTGTGTGTGTTCGTTCTTACCCATTCTCTACTTCTTGGGAAGTAACCTGAAAAATTCAACAGAGTGGGACCTGAGCACTCTCCTTGCTCCCATTCTCAGTTTTTCAGGATTTCCGCCCCCAGCTGGAACATTAACTGCAGCTTTAAGAGCCTTTTTCAGGTCAAAACTATGGGAAGACCGCAAGATCACTTGGGGTTCTTCCTGCCTTCTAAATCCCGGACCCACTCCCTGGAGGCTTGCTGGGAAGCTCCAGCATCCCAGCGGGTTAGCCAATAGCTCTGGGTAGGGTAGGCTTCTGGGCCTAGGCTGCCCTCCTCAGGACCAGGTGGCCTGGTCCTCCCCTTGAGGAGGTGGGGGCATTGGTGTCGCCAGAAGGGACAGCAAGTATGCATGAGTTGGGCCTGGAGGGTGGCTCAATCCTTTGCCCCTCGTCTCTGCCTCGCCTGCTGCTGGTGAGGATCACAGAGCTGGTATCCCACCGGTTGTGAAGGAAGCAGGAGGGTGAGTTGCGTGCACGCCGATTTCGCAGGAAGGGATGCCTAGGGTGAGAGTGAGCTCGAAATCAAAGCCACGGGGAGCCGAAGGAGGCAGGCTTGTGAGCTACTTCTGAGTCTTTGACTTCGCCCAGAGAACCCGAGCCAGTTGCATGAGGTGTGCTTGCAGGGAACAATAAACTGGTCCCAGGATGCCACAGTAGCCGGAACTGCCTTGCACTGCGGGTCTCCAAAGCGCGGGAAACGTCTCAGCTATTCCTGCAGCTTTCCAGAAATGCTGTGTCTAACGCCGCGCACGCGGCTCGCAGTTTTCTCTTCCACAGCCGCCTTGCGTTCCGTCTGCGCGCGAGTCCCACCCACGTGCCTGGATTTGGAAGAGGAGCTGGTGGTAGGTGCCAGGCGGAGGTGATCTGCAGAGGAGGAGGCTTGTGGCGTACGCCTCGTGGAGGGCCGAATCCGTTCCCCGGGCTCCGCTTGCCTTTCCTGGATCTGTTGACCCAAGGGAGCCCCTTCCCTCCACCCAGCCCCACTCCTCCGCCCGGACCCTGCACCCCGCATGAGGAGGAGGCACTACCGAGTCTCTACAACGCACGGGACTCTTGGCCTGTCGCAGCCCGCGGATCCCTCGGAGAGAAAGACCGTCCCTGCTCCAGGCCCCAGTACCTCCCTTCCTGAAGAAGCTCAGCCGAGCAGGAGGGTTCCCGTCTACGGGACGGTGGGGAGGGGGTGGGGAGGTGGGAGAACGCGGTATTTTTTAACTGTTTCTCGGCAGGGGAGGACGGGAGAGGGGGTAACTGCAGGAGAGGAAGCGGTTGGCATGTTCCCGGAGGACTTACGGCCAGCCTCTGCCCCACGCGCTCGGCCCCTCGAGCTCTGCCCCACGCGCTCGGCCCTCGAGCTCTGCCCCACTGCTCTCTGCCCCTGGAGCTCTGTCCCATGAGCTCTGCCCCTCGAGCTCTGCCCCTCCCACGAGCTCGGCCCCACGCGCCCTGCCCCTCGAGCTCTGCCCCACGAGCACGCCCCGCAGGCGACTGTCTGCCGGGCTCTAAGGGGCCTGTCCCCGCCCGCGGCTGCGGCCCGCCAGGCTAGCGGAAGGTAAAGTGCACCGGGCGTCTGACTTCCCCGCGCACACCCGTGAGACTCCTCTCCCTGCCGTCGCTCCACCCCGCCCGAGTCCGTTCGCTTCGAGGACCGCGTCCCCCGCCTCTCCCCGAAACGTCACCCCCCTACACGCACGTTCCCTTCAA